AAAGCCTCCAGCTTGACGTTTGGTCCAAGAACTTGGGACTTGCCAGCTTCTGTAAGTGTGTGAGCCACTTTCCTAAGATAAATCTCCCTTTTTCTATATGTATATATAAGCTTTACTGGTTTTGCTTCTCTAGAGAACCCAGCCTAACAGAGCCCTGAACAAGATGGACTGGCACAGTGGCTGCAATGATGGGCTCAGGTACAGCAAGGATCACGAGGCTGGCACAGGTCCAGACAGTGTTTCATTCTAGTATGTTTCATGTTAGTATGAGTCAGAGCCAATGTGACGGCACCTAACAACAACAACATTAAAGATAACAACAACATGTAATGCTACAAGATTCTTTAAAATAAGAAACGTATTTTTCACCAGGTATTTGTGGGGAGGAATTACACACCCAGGTAAAAGAGGCCAAAAACAGAAAAACCATGATTTGACAAGGTGGGCAGCAAGCAAATCCACGGCCAATGTAGGGTCTCATTTCCAAGGAGCACAATCAGAAATCTAGTACATAACTCCTTGATGCACTGAATTCTTCTATCTAACAATTTAATCTCATGCTTTCTCCACTAAATACTTCAAATCTGAAGACTAGATTTACACTAGGTACTCAATAAATCCTGGTTGAAATCTGGATAACTGGTAACTTTTCATCTGTTTTCACTAACATATTATGTATTTTCAAATCCATAAATTTACAGGCTTGATTAGATTCTTTATAGGAGTCTAAATATTGAAACTATTCAAAGCCATGATGTATACTATGGAGACGTTTCTGTTCTTCGTATTTAGCAAAGGTAAGATATTTGTCCCATGACTCAAATTTTGAAATTACACAAAACGTGATCAAATCTCACTTGGGTTTAAGACTCTAAACTTAGAGCAAGGTAAGGACTGCCCTAGGGAGGTAGGGAAGGGCTTCCAGTGAAGTCCCAGAGAATGCACTGGGTTCAAGATCAGCTCCAAGAGCTGCAGCCCTGTCCCCTCCCCTTACACAACGGCCTGACTAACTGGGAACCAGGTGTCTTAGGCTATCTAGGGCTGCTGTAACAGAAAAACCACTAGTGAATGGCTTTAATAAATAGTAATTTATTTTCTCAGAGTTTAGGGGGCTGGAAGCCCAAATTCAGGGTATCAGCTCTAGGGGAGGCCCTTGTCATCAGTCTTCTCCTGGTCTAGGAGGTTCTTGGCACAGGGACCCCAGGTCCGGAGGACCCACATTCCACTCCCAGCTCTTCTTTCTTGGTGTAGGAGGTCCCACTGATCTCTGCCTCCTTGTTTAATCTCTTTTGTATCTTGATAGACACAACATGATCCTGTGATTGCATTCTGCCTCGTCAGCATCACTGCCTCTCATCCTGCCTCATGCAGATCACAGAGTGGAGGGTCACCACCTGATACTGAGAACCCTGGCCCAGCCAAGGTGACACTTTTGGGGGACACAGTTCAACCCGTAACACCAGGCAAAGCAGAGCATCCACAATTTACACGTCTGTTTACGTGTAAGGACTGGAGAGTCCCCTGGGATCTGGTGCCTGATATGACACAACGCAGACACATCCAGTCCGAGATGTGGGAGATGCACACAGTGACGCACACTCAGTTCTCAGCTGTACTCGCAGCGCAACTGGGACCACTGGGACCAGGACTTCCACGCCCAGAGGGCCAAGTGGTCCTGAGTCTAGAGAAAGCCACAGGTCTTCTGGTAAGAACCTAAAATCACCACCAAGGGTGTGGCTGATCTGAGAGGGAATGTGGACTTCGGGGAAATGCTACCCACCACCTCCACCTACAAATAACCCAAAGAACAGTGAGCATGTCAATCAGCCAGCAGATCTCCTTGCCAAGCCAGCCCTGACCCGTGTGTACTAACCCTCACACCTGGGGAAGAGAGAGGTCCCCCGCGTCTACACACAGTTCTACCATTCTCTCCTCACCTCTCCCCCGTGTTACCAGGAACAATGACTGCTTCTGCTTTCAGCATTAACTGATACTCTGATCGCACTAAAAAGGCTAGAGGCCTTCTGCCATTCAAACAGCAACCTTTACAAATTACAATTTCGGTATTACTTGTATTGTACCCAATCTGAGGAAGGCCCAGTTAACATCCACACAGGGACATTAACACAGAAGGAAGCTGGGCCCCTGTGACACCCTACCTGATGGAAGAACTCGTCCATGAAATGGTCCTTTTCAACCACAACAGCTGTGTCTCCATCATCGCTTCTCCGACACTGAAATGGGAAGGAGAAAATGTGAAATGCACACTTTTGTCAGCCTTTGTATAGACAGAAATAGAGAACTGAAAACAAAAGCCACTTGAGCCCACGAGCTCGCACGTCACCGCCTGAGCAACGGAGGCTTGCAGCCTGCAGTTACAGTGCCCTCAGCCACTGAACCATTTCCCACAGAACACCGAGCAGCGAAGAGGCGGGCCTGGACAGCACATGGGAACCAACAGCGGAGAAGCGTCCGTTCTCACGCAGTCAACAGAGTGCGCGCTGCTCCCTGGTGCAAGCTCTCGGTCTGCACATGTGCCGTGCGGAGAGCACCAGCTAACTGTTCCACAGCCCTGAGTGACTCTCAGAGTGCCCTCACGTACACTGGCTAGAGGTTCAGTGTACTCCCAGTCATCCTCATGCTAAAAAACCCTGCTGCCATCAAGTTGAGCCCACACTAGTCATCAGGGACGACTTTACAAAGGACAGACTTCTTCAGGAAGCCTTTAATCAGTGAAATTGAGGGAGAGACCTACTGTAGCGATCACTTAGAAGAGCCAAATGACACTGGCTTGTAGAAATCAGGTACCGCAGGTTTAGGCAACACCACAGCATAAATGAAGAAAGGAGACAGTCCAGGACGCCCCCCCACCCCCCGCCCAACCCTGTTAACTGCCATCACCTGCAGCAACTTGCTGGGCAGAGCCCCAGAGATTCTGACAGAGCAAGGCAGGCTGGGCCTGAGGACCTGCATTTCTAACCACTTCCAGGTGATGCTGATGTTTCTTGCCTAGGGGCCAAACTTACAGCACCCCCTTCTGTGTGATTAAAATAAGCTTACTGGAAAATACAAATTAGGAAGAAAACTGTCTATAGCTACAAAGGAGAGGAAACAATGAGCAAAGACCCGAGAGAACACACATCTGAACGCACAACGTTTATTAATGACCAGCCAAGTGGAAGGCATTCTGAGCCACTCGGAAAGGGGGGGCAAAGACAGCTGTGCAGCACTCAGTGCAGGGGACAGTCTGCATCCGCTCCTTAAGGCCACACCCAGCGAGGCAGCTGGATCCTGGCCTTTGGAAAGAGGAGGTGGCAATGAACCGCAGGAATTTTCATCATCCTTCTTACAAAAATCAAAGGGCGCTGCCCATCAGAGGTCTGAATATGAACTGCTAGTCTACAATGCAGGGGTAATTTGGATATAAAAGTCACTAAAACGTAGCTAAGAAAAACCTGCAAGCATATTTACAACAAAAAAAGATGGAAACCACCTAGGAGCCCATCAACAGAAGAACGATAACCAAACTATGGTACATATATACAATAGAATACTATGCAACCCTAAAGAATAACACAGAATCAGCAAAACACCAAATAACGTGGATGAACTTGGAGGACGTTATGCCGAGTGAAATAAGTCAATCACACAGAAGGACAAATATTTTATTAGACCATTATTATAAAAAGTCAAGCAAAGGTTCATATATGGAAGGGAATTTTCTTTGTTGTACCAGAGTGGGAGGGGAGGGGAGGGAACACTGCTAGATAGGTAGAGACAAGTATTGATTTGGGTGAAGAAAAGGGCAATGTACCAAATGTGAGTGATGAACACAGTGGCACTGAGGAAGAGGAAGACATAGAGAGGCACATGGGAGGTACAGACTACAAAGATGAACCTTTTTGCACATACAGTACTGTGTTGTCAGTGAAGGCAAACATGGATATACGGGTGGATAGATGGGTGGACAGGCTGAACAAGCAGGTATGTCTACGCAGGGGGAGTGTGCCCAAGACCATGTACAGGGTTGGCAGACAATGTTTCCACAAGTGTATTTGTATGTTCTGTAAGAATTTCCAGGTAGATAGTAGAGCTGAGAAGGGACAAGGTTGTAGTCACTTCTTGGCCACAGCTAGCTACCCAGAGGGAGCGAGTAGTTGGAGCTGTGGGCTCGTGACCACGGTCACAGGGGACATCAAGCTCAACTGACATAACACACTACACAAAAACATTGTTCCACATCCTACTTTGGCGAGTAGTGACTGGGATCTTAAAAGCTTGCAATGGCCATCTAGATGCAACAATGGGTCTCTCCTCATCCAGCGCAAAGAAGAATGAAGAAAATCAAAGACCCATGGAAACCATTAGTCCAAGCAACTGGTACACCATGCGATCCTCAGCCTATATAACTATGAGACCACAAGAACTAGATGGTGTCCAGCTACCACTGTCAACACTCGGAGGGGGATCTATGTAAGAAATCCTGGATAGAGACGAAGAACAATGTGGAACAAAATTCAAAATCATAAAAAAAGGACCAGGTTTGCTGGTCTGATAGAGCCTGGTGGAACCCCTTGGACTATGAGACTATGACCCCTAGCTGCCCTTCAGGTCTGGAATTGAACCCACTCCTGCGGCTTCCAGTCAAACAAAAGATAGGCATGAGAGCTGAACATTTACCTGAGGTAGATGCACTCCTTGGAGAGATCGATCATGGGAGACTAGAAGGACTGTGTATGCAGAGGGAGACAGCTCAGGGGGCAGGAGTACATGGAGGGATGGACACAGGGAAGAGGTAGCTGTGAGGAGGAAAGTGGGAAGGGAGCTGTTGCATTGTGGGAAATTGCAGTGAATATCATGAGATAAAGTGTATGTGAGCGGCTGTATGGAAAATGAATTTGCTTCTTAAACTTTCCCCGAAATCACAATAAAAATTTAAAAAGAAAAGAAAAATCTGCAAAATACACTGGATGTGTCATGACAGCAGTACAAAATTTTCCTCTGTCCCATTCATGAGCACCAAACCACACCCACTGCCGTGGCATGGATTCTGACCCACAGCGCCCCTAGAGGACAGAGTGGAACTGCCCACAGGGACTCCAAGGCTGTCAATCTTCACAGAAGCAAAGCCCAAACCACACCCACTGTCATGGAGTCCATTCTGACCCACAGCGCCCCCAGAGGACAGAGTGGAACTGCCCACAGGGTCTCCACGGCTGTCAGTCTTCACTGAAACAAAGCCCAAACCACACCCACTTCCTGGAGTCCATTCTGACCCACAGCGCCCCTAGAGGACAGAGTGGAACTGCCCCACACAGTTTCCAAGGCTGTAAATTTTTATGGAAGATGACCGTCACATCTTTCTCCCATAGACCAACTGGTGGGTTCAAACTGCCGACCTTTTGCTAAGCAGCCAAATGCTTAACCACTGCACCACCAGAGTCCTATCCCAGCAGCACAGGAAGGTGCAATCAATGTGGCCTGGAAGACTGCTGACACTTCTTCCTGCCCTGACTTTGTGTTTGGACTAATTACGTGCTGGTCTTCTCCAGCCCAGGTCGCTTGTGTATAGATGAGACAGTCCAAGTGGTAAGAGCCACTAAGCAGGAAAGAAACGTGTAACAAGCCAGTGGAGACTTTACCTCCATGAGGACATGTATGAGGAGAAAGGAAAGAGTCCTGACAGCACATCAGATCAGTGCTCAGCTGCTCCCAAAGGTCAGGGGGATGTAGAGCTGGCGACCTGCTCCTGTCCACGTCCCAGCCGCCCACGTACCAGCCCAGCAAACCCTGTGGGCAGCTCTGCTCTGTCCCATGGGGTCACCAGGAGTTGGACGTGACTAAGCAGCACCCAGCAACAACATGAGGACATCAACACTCGGTCCCCAGGGGCTGACAGCTGGCAACCTTTCGGAACACACAGAAACCGCCCCGTGAAAGGCAACGGCAGCCATCTAACTCCAGGCAAGGGCTGACGGCCTGTGCAGCTGTACGACCGTGTGTTCACTCTATTGGCACCAACCCCCTTTGGGTGGTTTCTCCGATCGTGGCCCTGTATGACACTGATGTGGCCTTGTCTCTCTGATGCCAAGAACACTCTCCCTCGGAAATGCAGAAGCCTGACGTGTAGTCCTTCTGATGGACCACTGTGGACAGTGTCTCCTGCCCTGGCACCCACCCAGACAATCTCCTGGACTGAGCCCTCCTTCCTCTCGAGTTTATCCCTGAGACGGCCTCCTGCACCATCCCAGCACAGTCTGCTCCCTTTGTCTCTCAACACCCTTTGGGAATCAATCACACACCAACTGGGCTCTCAGTGAGGACCCTCCTCTTTTTCCAGACAGACTGACACAGTAGCTGCAACAATGGGGTCACCTATGGCAACAACTGTACAGATGGCTCAGGACCAGGCAGTGTTTCATCCTGTTGTACATGGCGTCACCGTGAGTCAGAACCAACACCACGGCACCTAACAACAGCAGCAGCAACTGGGCACTGGACTGAACTACTTCCGGTGGTTATTTTCTTGTCCACTCAGGGGTGGGGCCCTGGAAGTAAATGAGAAGCAGTGATGGTTCCATGGGAGAATGCCCACCCTCAGTTGGCCAGGGCACCTCCTGCACGTGGACGCACACTTGGCTGCTGTGATGCTGTGAAGAGATGGTGTCTGACTCAGTGCCAATCACTGGCCCGTGTAACTGGCACAGTGCACACTGACTGCACACATGGAACAGCACTGACTCCACAACAACTAACACCAGTGCTGCGGCTCCCACGGCTGGTAACCCCAGGTGTCAGAGCAGAACTGGGCTCCACAGGGTTTCCAACAGCAGTGGCCTTCCGGAAGCGGGTCAGCAGACCTTCCTGAGGTACCCTGGGTGCATTCAAACTGCCAAACTGTTACGCCACTCAGAGACCACTAAACAATTATTCAAAAAAAAAAACCACTGCCATCGAGCCGATTCTAACTCGTAGCGACCCTGCAGGATACAGCAGAACTGCCCCCTAGGGTTTCCAAGGCTGTAAACCTTCACAGAAGCAGACTGCTTCATCTTTCTCCCACAGAGAAGCTAGTGGGCTCAAACAGCCCAACCAGTAGCCGAATCCTTCAACCACTGTACCACCAGAGCTCCACAATTATTAGAGACGTCCAGCTGTCTTTGAATCCACATGATAAGTGACTTCTGTTCAAAAGTCATTCACTCGCTGGGAAACAAGGCCTCTCTCTCTCTACCTGTAGAGTAAGAAGGAGCCATGTGACTAGAATATAAACCCACGGCCATCGATTTGATTCTGACTCATAGCGACACCCACTGGGTTTCCAAGGCAGTAAATCTTCGTGGAAGCAGACTGCCTCATCTTTCTTCTGCAGTGGCTGGTAGGTTTAAACCATCAATATTCTGGTTAGCAGTCAAGTGCCACCAAAGCTTCTGCCTAGAACATAGTGTGTCTATTCTCTGTTCTTTCCCTTTTATTTTTGAAAACCATTATTTATATTTCTTGTTCTAACTTGTTATACACGGTTCTAACCCTCAAAACCATAGTGTTTCAGGAAATGGACCCAGTAATACTGCCTTCGCCTTTCCATTCATAAAAAGGAAACACAGCTGATTACCCAAAACAATGCTACCTCTGGCTTTATGCCTCAGTGTCGTCACTCCTGTCTTCAATGACTGTGACCGTCTGACTTTACACTCAGACAGTGTGGTAAGTGCCCAGCGGCCATACTTGTGGCAGGACACATACTGTGGAAAACAAAACCAGTGGCAAGACACTTCCTGAAAGCACTGAGCATCACTGTGCTGGCATGGGCTTGATACACATTCACATATCAACAGTATGGTTCTGTGGAGTTGTAAAAGCACTCTCTCTAAAGGTACCATTCCATCAAGGGCACAGGCATCCCCATGTGAGTGCCATTGTCAGGGATAGGCACGAGGGCTTCCACACTGAGAGGCTCTGGGACAGACTGAGTGGTCACTTGACGGCTCAGTGCTTCAGGGCAGCAGCAGCTGAATTACGCAGGTTAGCAGAGCCCACGGCCAGATGAAATAAGGCTTCCGTCTCCATGTCACCTGCCCATTCGTGCACACTGTGGGCTTTCTATGCAAAGTGCAGGGAAATGACTCAAGAGGTTATCATCTTGAAACATGTACAGTGTTTGCAGTACTTTTGTGGCTAGAATGTATTCATTTATTTTTTCAATAAATAAATAAAGGCATACCTGTAGTTAACAGGAGGGACAGCAAACTGTTGGCCAGTGAACAGTCAGACTCAGATGCAACTCCTCCCCCTATTTTCATATAATTAATTATACTTTTATACCAACGAAAGAATGTTATCTTTTCTCATGGCTTTGTACTTCTTATTACACTCTTTCACCATTATTATCTGAGTACTGTTTTGCATGTACTTAGACTTTGCATAACTTTTATTGCACTACAGACTCTTCTGCAGAGAGTAGACAGCAGATTCATCCACAGAGAGTACCCATAGACCCAGATACAGAAAGTACACACACACCTATCCACAGAGTATACACAGATGCAGACACAGAGTGTACTCACAGTCCATCTGCAGAGAGCACACCCAGACACAGATACAGAGAGTTCACACACACCTGTCCTCAGAGAGTACACACAGACCCATCCACAGAGAGTACACACAGACCCAGATACAGAAAGTACACACACACCTATCCACAAAGAGTACACACAGATGCAGATACAGAAGGTACTCACAGTCCATCTGCAGAGTACACACAGACCCAGATACAAAGAGTACACACAGACCCAGATACAAAGAGTACACACAGACTCATCCACAGAGACTACCCATAGACCCAGATACAGAAAGTACACACGTCTATCCAGAGAGTATACACGGATGCAGATACAGAGTGTACTCACAGACCCATCTGCAGAGAGCACACCCAGACGCAGATACAGAGTTCACACGCACCTGTCCACAGAGAGTACACACAGACCCATCTGCAGAGTACACACAGATACAGATACAGGGAGTACTCACAGAACTGTCCACAGAGAGTGCACGGCAGACCCAGCTGCGGCGGGAGAAGGGAGCAGCCACGGGAGCAGCAGAGCTCAGGCGCAGGAGCGAGCAAGCCCACGGAGCAGAGAGGCACGCGCACGAGGGCAGGCGTGGAGAGCTGAGCAAAGCAGAACCACGGCCCAGAGGCTGTGAGCGCCTTCTCCTGCCTCTCTCAGTGCCCCTCCAGGGTGGCCTCAACCACATCTGGAGCCTCCTGCTTCCATCTGCACGGCCCACCACGCAGGCCACCACCACGTCTGGCCTGGACTCAAGGGCACCTGCCTCATTCTTGGCCCCATGGCAGCCGAGAGGAAGAACTGGATCGTGCCGGTCCCCTGCTACCTCCACCAGCAGCTCTCGCTGTACTAACCAACTCCCAGCACCTCCGGGACCTGGCCCTTCCTCTCTGCCCTCATTCGTCCCTGCCAACCACTCCTGACCTTCTACTCCGACCCACCAACAGGCCCCACCTAGGGCTCTACCAGACAGACCACTCTTCCAGACCCTTCCATGGCAGGCTCCATCTCGTCTTTCCGATATCCACTCAGAGGCCTTCCCCACCCATACCCCACTGACCTGGCATTTTTCTTCATGGCGCGTGTCACTACAACATCCTAGTGGCCATTGGCTGGCCATCTGCTGCCCACCTCCCTCACTGTAAGTAGCCTGAGGACAAGGGCTTCACCTGCTTTTTCCCAGGTTTCAGGGATGAGAAAGTGGGGAGTGGAGAACACACCCACAAAAGGAGAGAGAGACCGAGACACAAATACCAGGGTGGGGGGCATGGGCTGAGATGAAGCAGGTACAAAATGGGCCAGAGGTGAGGAGACAGTGCCATGGTGGCTCTCCATCCCTGCTCCCTGTCCTGGGGAACGAGGGTGCTGCCCACATAGGTCTGCTCTATCAGGCTGCCCAGACAAGCCTGGCCACACAAGCCCAGCACGGACAAGCCCACCCAGACAAGGTGGCCTGGCCACACAAGCCCAGCACGGACAAGCCCACCCAGACAAGGTGGCCTGGACAAGCCCAGCACGGACAAGCCTGGCCCCGTGCCATGGAGGAGGGAGGGAGGGGCAGAGAGAGCAGTACAGCTGCATCCACAGAGACATCAAAGGGAAGGCGGGTCAGAAGACGCCCACGCGAGCCTGGCTAACACGTACCTGATACACTGTGAATCAAATGTCCACTTCTCCTGTCACCAGCTGTGAGAACGTAACCAACGCCCATTGGCTACATCCCTGCACAGGCATGACTGCGGCTGCCCATGCAGCACTGATTCCTCTGACCTTGACCACGCAGAGCGGGTCAGCCTCACAAGTCAGCCCAGGACCTCAGACACTAGCACCAGCTTGTGAGTCCAAACAGCCCCCACCTTCTCACCGCTGGATACAAGCATGGGGTTTCCCCACTACCACCTCAGGAGGGCAGCTGCAAGCTCAGGGCTCCCCTTGGACTCCCTCACTTCTGACTAGCTGGCTCCCACTACTGCTTTGGGTCCCATGATTCACTGGAACTCACAGAAACCATTCAACTTTCGACTACAGCTTTATCACAGGACAAAAAGGAGACAGTGAAAAGACACATAGGGTGAGGTCTGGAGGGCTTCCAACTCAGAGCTTCTGCACCCCAAAGTGTGTGCCACCCCCCACATGCATGATGCCTTTCACCAACAGGAAGCTCATGGAGCTTCCACGTCCAGAGGTTTTATTGGGGGTCTCATTATGTAAAGCAAACTCCAGTCCCTCTCCCTAAGGTTGGTCACTATCAAGAGGCGGCCGTGAGCATCTGAAGTGGGGCCCTCTGGTCTAGCCACGAGGAGGTGGTTACCACGAGGTAAGTCCCACTGTTCTGGCCAGCCCCTGACCCCAGAGCTGCCTCTACAGATTAACCTGCCACTAAGGAAACCATTAGGGAAACTGAAGGCTCTTTTAGGAATTCTCTCTCAGAGACTGAGGACAAGGCCGGAATTCTTGGGTAAAGTTCATGTAAACCCCACAGGCAGGCAGGGTAGGAGTTCAGACAAGGGAGACGTGTGTGGAGGGATGGAGAGGGAGGACACTTCCGGGACAGCCAGCAATGTCTCAGAACTGGAGCAAGCACACCAGTGGTGAGTGTGCCAACGGGGAAACTGATGCGTGGGGTGTCGTTCAGATACTCTGTCCTTAAACTCAGAAAAGAGCTGAAGCTAACATCGAGAAGCAGTTCATCTGTGGGAAGGTAGGGGCTTTGCTAACTTCAAGAAAAGGACACACCTCTGTATGCAAGCATTTATTATAGTTAAGAATAGAGAAATTACAGATTCCATCTGGGGAACTGTATGCAAGATAACAAACAAAATGTAAAAATAAAAAAGCTTGGCAGGATTGAATAAAGGATGAAGCTTTAATCTGAAAATACATGCATATATAAAAGCAGAAATAGAGCACACATTTTTAGTATTTTGTTTCAGTGAAATATTAAGAAAATAAAAAAGTTCTTTTTTAAAAACCAGAATCTGAATCTTCACTACCAAACATTTAGAACTACATGGGCTACTCGGGCTGCGGAAGAAGTAACTTCAAAAATATCTGGGCAGTTTGTCCTGCTCATTAAAAACCTGTATTTGCAATTCACAGCCTTGAATCCAGGGACTAAAAAATAACATTCCCATTTCTCTTATTGTTTATAACCTGTATGTTTGTGTTTATAATCTGTGTTTGTGCTTACAATTTGTGTTTGTGTTTATTACCATGCAAACAATTTCCACAGTTGCAATCTGTTCCTGTATTTTAACTATAATTAACACAGCCTTTTGCATACAGCAACTTTGGAAACAAGATAATTAAAATGCATCTTGGGCCATTATGTCCTAGACCGTTGCTGTTGTCCCTGTTAGGAACCATCAAGTCGTCTCTGACTCATAGCAACCTTATATACAACAGAACGAAACAATGCCCAGTCCTGTGCCAGCCCCACGATCCCTGCTATACCTGAGCCCATCATTGCAGCCACTGTGTCAATCCACCTTGTTGACCCTTCTTCATTGACCCTCCACCTTACCAAGCATGGCATCCTTCTCCAGAGAATGATCCCTTCTGACAACTTGACCAAAGTAGGTGAGACGAAATCTGGCCATCTTGCTTCCAAGGAGCATTCCAGCTGCACTTCCTCCAGGACAGATCTGTTAGTCTTGTAACAGTCCATGGTACTTTCAGCATTCTTCTCCAACACCACAAACCAAAAGCATCAACTCTTCTTCCGTCTTCCGTGTTCACTGTCCAATGAATTCCATATTCATTCTAACTGTTATTAGGTGCCATCAAGTCGATTTTTAACTCACAGCGAACCCTGGTGGCACAACAGGTCAGCACTCAGCTGCTAACTGAAAGGCTGGCAGCTGGACCCGACCCAGTGGCTCCCGGGGAGAAAGCCCTGGTGACCTGTCCTGGTGAAGGTGACAGCCTCGGAAACCCTACGGGCAGCTCTGCTCTGTCACACGGGTCACTACCTGTCCTGGAACAGCCCTCCCTCTTGAACCACACACCCACTGACACGGGTTCCTTCATGCCTTCTACACTGCTCCTTGCCCAGCCTGAGAGCACCCACAGTGAGCTCTGCTGACCCCCCTCACCTGGAACAGAGCTGGCCCTCACATGTCTGTTCGACAGGTGATTCTTTCACTTGTTTGTCACTATGAAACGGTATCTTCCTGGGTTTCAAGTATGAAGGGTCTTGGGCAAGTCCCTTCAGCTTTCTGCACCCAATGAACTGTTTGCTCAAAAAGAGAATCACTGATTACCAAACCAAAACCTACTACCATCAAGTCGGTTCAACTCCTAGCGACCCCATGTGACAGAGGAGAACAGCCCCATAGGGTCTCCAAGGCTGTAATATTTAACAAAGCAAAGCCCAAGCCAAATCCACTGCAGTCCAAGTGACTGCTACTCGCAGCGCCCCTGGAGGACAGAGTGGAACTGCCCCACAGGGTCTCCAAGGCTATCCATGCGTACAGAAGCTGACTGCCTCCTCTTTCTCCCATGGAGCAACTGGTGGGTTCAAACCACCGACGTTTTGGTTAGCACCTGAATGCTGTAACCATGGCGCCACCAGAGCTCTTTAATTATTGGTTACCAAACCAAATGCACTGCCATCGAGTCGGATCCAACTCATAGTGACCTCTCCTTGGGTTTCCAAGGTGGTATCACTACAGAGGTAGATTGCCCAACCTCCCTTCTGTGGAGTGGCTGGTGGGTTTGAACCACAAGCTTTCTGCTAGCAGTCAAGTGCCTTAGGCACTACACCACCAGAGCTCCCAATTATTGGTTGTTGTTGTTATTTGCCACCGAGTCAGCCCCGACTCATAGCGACCCCTCCTTGGGTTTCCGAAGCAGTATCACTACGAAGTAAATTGCCTCATCTTCCTTTTGAGGAGTGGCTAGTGGGTTTGAACCGCCAGCCTTCTCAAGTGCCTTAGGCACTACACCAGCAGAGCTCCTAATTATTGGTTAGGAGAAGCTAAATTTAAGCAAATGGCACTGGAAAGACTGATATTTAGGTCCTTACTTAGAGTTTTCCGTGGTAAGTAGCCTTTCTCTCAGAAGGAAGCCTTAGGAGCTACTAAGGGAAACTTTATTTTAGAGGCATCTCAAGTATTTATAGTGTGAACGATGCAAATGAGGCATCTTAACTACTACAATGAAATACTAACCTGCATAACCTGTACCTAGAGAGACAGATCCAGTCATTCAGAAAGATGGCTGGGAACAGACTTTGCACGACCCCAGGAATTAAATGGAAAGGGCACATTTTCCTGGTGGGCGGGGAAGAAGGATCATTTAAACTTTTACATCTGGCAACTTTAAAATGGGTTTTAAAAGTTGGAAGTTACTAACTTTAAGTGTCCCACATTTAATTTCAAGTTAATACTCTATACCAGGGAGAAGATTGTTCTTTATAACTTCCGGATAACATAAAAAGACCTGTTGTTGTTGTTGTTGTTGTTACGTGCCGTCGAGTCGGCCCCGACTCATAGCGACCCCTCCTTGGGTTTCCGAGGCAGTGTAACTACGGAAGTAGGATTGCCCAACCTTCCTTCCGAGTAGTGGCTGGTGGGTTTGAACCGCCAGCCCTCTGGATAGCAGTCAAGTGCTTTTAGCCACTATGCTACCAGAGCTCCTATAAAAAGACCTAGTAAATATTAATAGCCTTTGTAATTACATAGAAGCCCTGGTGGTGCAGTAGAAAGCGCACAGCTAACCAAAAAAAGGGCAGCAACTGGATGGCACCCACCGGCCACCGTGTGGGAGAAAGATGAGGCAGTCTGCTTCTGTAAAGTGTGACAGCCTTAGAAAGCCTATGGGCAGTTCTGCTCCGTTCTCCAGAGTCGCTATGAGTCAGAATCACTGACAACCTGGGTTTGGTTCTCGTTTAGTGTAATTACACAGCACTTTCTCCCTCCCACCTTCTTCCAGAACTTCACTTGCATCAGATAATTTTGTGTTTCACAACTTCCTCTGTGAGGAAGATGAGAGAGATGCTATTTCCCTCTTTTTACATACAGGGAAATTGAGGTTTTAAGAGGTTTAAGGAATGATCTGCCCGAGATGAGACACCT